AGATGTGATGAACAACTGGGAGAAGTGTTGGTTGTTGGGATTTTTTTGGCAATATACCTGGTCCAGAGGAGAAGAGTTGCTCACAACCTGTTAAAAACACTCACCAGACTTCAGTTCTAACAGCTAAATAGGAAAGAAGTAATCTGATTTAGGAACTTTAAGTCTGAAGAAGAAGAGTTTCAGGAAGCATCATGGTATTATTTGGTTTTGTAAACAGCTGCCAGCAGAACATACTTACGAGCTGTTATGATGCTTGCAAGGTTAAAGTATGTGATAATCAGAAATTGCAAATTATTTATTGGCATATTCTAGACATGGGTCGAAATTCAAGAAGTGATGTATTTCAAAAAACAAAAACAGAGCAATGGTCCTTAGCCCCTTCCTTGTTCATCAGCAATGGTGTGAAAGGTACCATTTTCCAGTGCTGAAGGTTGAGGTGTCTTCAGCTGTAAATACACCAGGCCTTGGAGTAACTGAACTGCAGCATTTCTTTCTTTAAAATTAACTAAGCTTGTAGTAAGCAGGAGGAGGTCACCTCAAAGTATGACTATTACTGTAATTTTTTTAAATAAAAAATTTAAGTAGTTCATTTTATCTGGTTATTTAAAATACTTATGTTCCTGAGAGACTCTTGAAAAGATATAAATTGGATGGATAGTTTTGGTTTCCTTACTATGCTATATCCTGTGGTTACTAGCTTTGTTTTTAAATGAATGCAAAACACAAACGTCTTTATCTCACTAAAAAGAAAGTCTTCTTGATCAACTGGCTTGGATTATTTTCAGCTGAAAAAAGGGCAGTTAATTATAAAAATTAGTATTGCTCAGTGTTTAAATGTGATTGTTGCAGCCATGCTTCTCAATTAAAATGGTGGATGTGGTCACAAGAAAAAGCACTTGACATTTAAAACCTTAATTGTGGAATTCTAAATTCAGATACCATTTTATGTGTTTACATGAGGACCTTGTTTAGGAAAAAAAAAAGGATTAAAATTTGGTTATTAGGCCTTTTTACATAATGTTACTTCAGGCTGAATTAGCTGGATCAGCACAAGTCCTTCTGTTGATATTATGTATAGTCAGCAGTGGCCAGCTGCTCAAAAGGATTTGGAGTATTGGCAAGCTATAGTTTTAAAACTAAATGAAAACCTTAACGAAAATGGGAATGTCTGCAGTGTGGCTTGTACTAGATTTAATGAAGTCAGTTAAAATTATACCTTCAGTTAAACTGGTATCATTTGCTTTAGTCTTTACTTAAATAGACACACTTTCTTAGGTTAGGTGGATTGTTGCCAACAATTCCAGTGTTGAAAGGGCACACTTTTAATACCATTTTAAAAACCAAAATCCACAAACATTGTCAGATTTCCACGTAATAGAGAAATGCCATCTCCCACTCATATTTTTTAATCTAGTTTGTAGTGCTGACAAGTTTCTCTAAGTAAAATTTAGATATTTCAAGCACCATAAATTAAGTCCAGAAAGAAAGCTGTTTAGTACAATATTTATAAAAGCAATCACACACAGCATTATATTGCTTGCAGACAAGTGCCATCTGAATGTATAACTAAGAAATAGTGTTCCAAGATGCAGAAACATGTCACTTAAATTTATCTTAAGTAGAAATTTGCATTAACATTTACATGTTAACTTTGTCTTCTATGAGATACCATCTAGTACCAGTTGATACTTGTTTTGTATCAATGAATGCCAAGGGTATTGCATGAGACAAGAGAAAGTGATGGTAACTGAATAGAAAATGGAGAAGCCAGCCCTGCTAATGGCTACTTTATTCTGGAAAGTATCTGCTCTTGGCTTTCAGAGGGAGGGAAGACCTGCAAGTTGAAGCGACTGAGCATAACTACTGCCATTAGCTTAATGGGAGCTGTGTGGTTGCTTAATATTCTCAGTCCCCTTAGTACTCATAATGGCTGAGAGCTCAATTTAGGTGCAACAGCTGCATTTTGTGAGGTCCTGCATCTACCTGTTTTCTTTTGGGCTTTTTTTGGTGTTGTTTTCTTTTAAATATGTCAGCTCAGATCAACAAGAATGATGGAAAAGCTTGCCTGAGATCATAAACTACTGAGTATAGCTGGATAAGACCCAAAATTCTCCTAGTTCCTAGACTTCAGTGTAACCACAAGACTGCAGTGCTTTTAGCTGAACTTCATCCTCAACTGGAGCTTGGCACAAAGAATCCCAAGGAAATAATTTCTTTTTGAAGTATCTTGTAAATGTTCTAACTTGTTTTGCCCTTTGGATTCAACTAGTTCAGGAAAAATACCTTTTTAAAGTCTCAGTTCAACTGTTTAAATATTATGTGCTCTTAGATTATTATTATTTTTAAGTTGATAGCTTGAAGTTTGTCAGAAAGCAAGTAGCTGTCCAGTCTGCTGCTTTGAAGGACATCAATAGCAGTGGAAGGAAGATATCACTGAAGACATTCTTCCTGTAAAGCCTAAAATACACTTAGTTTCTGGGCAGGAAGCCTTTTTTGCCAGGTTTTTATAGTTCTAAGTGCCCTTCTTTAGTAAATGTTTAGTGCCTTCCTTTTACACAGATTTAAAGTGGCAAATGTGAAGAAAGTGTAAAGTTAAATATGCCCCTAATGTATGGGTGATGGGGAGGGGGAAATCACTTTAGAAAATGTTTTCTTCTTTAAGAGTTCCTTAGGATCCTGTATATGTCAGGTATCTTAGACCTGCCCTCTCTGATGAAAGCTGAGTGACCAGGCAGTTTTTGAAAAACAGTGTGGGTTTGTTTTTTTAAGAATATGAGCAATTATCTGTTTAAAAGAAGTTTCAGTCATGAAGCTGACAATACCATAATAATGCCTGGAGCATCTGTTACCTTCTCCTCCCCTTCAAAAGTGAGCCACTTCTCTGAAGTGCACTGACTCTCAGTGAGAATATTGTTATGTATTTGTAAAGCTTTTCTTCATACAGAGGTAGTGTTACAGGTTTGGTTCAAGTGAGGTGGTGTAAATCCCTCAGTCTGCTGTTGCCTGTGAGCCATGAGCACAGTACAGTCTTTAACAGTCTTGCCCAGAGGCTGCATAATGTGGTAGGCATATAAGAAGTCTTTTAATTTGTGAATTTGCAACTCATTTGTTGTAAGCTAGATAGCTCTATTTGCTTAGTAAAGAGCTATAACTAAATAATAGTGCCATCCTAACTGTATCTCAAATACAAGATTTTGAACCACCTGTGAAAAATTTCTATCTGGATGCTCTAATTTTTAATGCAAACATGCAGGTGTGCTTGTGTGCTCCTGGCAGTTGTACCTGTCTTGTATGTAGGTAGCCATGTGCTAACTCCTGTACAACAGCCAGGTAGTGTTTTAGCTGGAGCCCCGCTTTACCCCGCTAGCTCAGGCTTGGTGCTTTTGGATCTCCTTGGCTTGAGGGCAGGTGTGCCTGTAGAAGATGACACGGACACAGCCCATACTGTGCTGGAGTCATGGTCACAGCAGTCAGGGAAACAGTTTGCTGCCACTGCTCAAACAAATAACAGTATTACAAGCTGCCTGATCTCCTTACTAAATGACAGAGCCAACGTTGTTGAGCTCTGACAGTTCATACATTGTTATGTAGAAGCAGGTCAACTATTTACATATAGTATAAAAACTAAACAGAAGTAACACTACTTTAAACTGGATTTACCTAATTAAAAATAGTAAACTTCGAGACTAGTTAAAACACTGGATTAGAACACCATGTGCAGAGTTAAACTACAGTGTATTTTGCTCCGTTATTAAAGTTTTTAAAAAAAGGACTGTATGATTGGATGTGATGTTAACTATAGAACACAAAGCCTACTGCTGCAAGTCTAATTTAACAGTTCAAATGGGATTAATGTTGTGTCACTTTAGCCACAAATTATTTTAAGAAGTGGTTTGATACTACTATTTTTCAAAGGTGCACTTGGTGCACTCATCTTGGTGCGTGCAACAGAAGTCAACTGTAAGAGAGTTAGTCGATCATAATCCAAACTGACTACAATGCAAAACATTAAATGATGTATTGCTAAATTTTTTCCTAAGGACCTCAACTATGACTTTAAAAGTTGTGACCTGCCCACCCCAAAATTGAAAATACTGCTTTGAAAACGTGCTGCCTGAAATCCTTAACATAGAGGCCTTTTTAAAAAAAACACATGCTATAAAATCAAAGGGATTAGAAAGTTAGAACAGTAAAGGAGTAGCTCTACTGGATACACTATAATCTAGAAATACAATTTTTAAACATTTTCCTTGAAAAAAGCTGGTGCAGAGAATACCACTCTTTTTATCCTGACTGTTTAATAATGGCTAAGAATAATAATTTGCTTATAATAAATTAGGTCTGCAGTATAAATGAACATATGAACCTTTCAAGACAGACATACTAATGTTACTTTCAGAGTATCTAAAATGGATTTAAACTATTTCAAGATTCATTTAATTACTTGCAATTTATATTACTTTAAGAATCTTCTATACAACAAGTTTAACAGAAAAAAAGCAAACATTCTAACAGCCCCTTTTCCCTAGAACAATTTTCATATACGATAGTTTTAAATAACTATTTTGGCGCATTCACGCGTGCTCTCTCTCTCCCTCTTTTTCTAAAGGTAGCGCAGCCAAAAGACAGTGCAAGAATTGGCATTTCTTGACTGACTCTTTTCTCCTCCATCTGATAAAGATAAGGGGAAGAAAGATACTTGAGACAGAATGTCCCAGAATGGAAACTGTGAACTTGATGTTTACTTTGCCCAGTCTCCAGGGAATTTGTTATTTCCTTGGTCATAGTTGATAAAAATAATTTTGCTCTGTGTCTGCATACCACGCTATGTTCAGTTACAAAAATTTTTCTATTTCAGCTGTGGGTGAATTTATTTTGAAGCTTCCATTTTGCTTCACTGAACACAGTGCAAACCAAGGCAAGAAACAAGTAAAATTCAAACAGGAGCTCCCATTAAGAGTATCTGAGCAGCATTTTATATATTCTGTTTTCTACTGTCCTTATTCTGGGGAGGAAGGATCCTCATCTTCTTCCTCTTCATCTTCATCATTGAATGAGCATGGTGTTTCTCCCCGTGACTCAGAGTAGCGTGATGTCGCACTGCTTGGGGCAGGAAACTCCCCAGTTGCTAAGGCCACTTCAGCATCCAAACACAACCTTGGATTCTCACTATCAAAACAACAGAAATGTTGAAGTTTAGAGGATTTCTTACGAAGTTTTAAGCTTTCTTTTTGGCCTTAGCTTTTCCTTTAGTGAAAGAAATGCTATCAACACAGAAAAATCCAAAAGCTTTGTATTAAACACAGCTAATAACTATGAAAACTGCTAAAATAATGGAAAGTTGCATAAAAAAAGATTATTATGTGGCTGCTTTTTTTTTCATAACCAACCAGTAGAATTGTTCAAGCCAAAGAAATCTTAAAGAAGAACAAACCTATCAGAGCTTTTTCAATATACAGAAATGTTTGCAATATGAAATTAAGCTATTAAATGCCATGAGGAAGAAGCTGTTCCAGAATAATCTCTCCTTCCATGTTTTTAAGGTACAGGTAACCTCCAAGAAGAATATGGTTGTTGAGTTGTTTTTTTGTTTGAATTGGGTTTCTGTTGTTGTTAGTTGGTAGTTTTTTAATTTAAAATTGCCATTAGACTGTGTTGACTAAACTTTATGCATACAGGTAGTCATGCATTTAGACATGAAACATTCTTTTGTCTGCTTCAGAAGTATTATCAGGCTCTTTTCTACATGTAATTACCTATTTGTAGTCCATGCCCAGGCAGGAATTTAAGGTTAATCAGGAAAACGCTATTATTTTTACAATAAAGGCTTGGAAGGGATTCTAGTCTTTTGAAACAGATACAAAATAGCTATTCTGTTCAAAATTCAAAGCATGTTGATTTGACCTTTCAAATATAATTATCAAGGAAGACAAAATAAGAGATGTTGTCACAATAAAAAATCAACTGTAATTGAAAAATCTCTTTTTCTGCATGCACATGGTATGAAACAGTGAGGTTACTGAAAGTACCACAAGCATATATCACTATAATTGAACTAAAAAAGATTTTATGTACCTTGATTTAGCATCAGAAGTGCCTCCTGCTTCCTCTAAATGTGAAATTGCTTGAGCTGAACTTGAAACTAACCCTTGGTTTATCCATGAAATTCCTGCAGATATATCTAGAAAAAAAGCATAATTTGTATTTATGATTATTACTTATTTTTTTTTCTTCCTTTTACAGTCTTAAACTTGACATTCTCTTTGCAGTTAGGACTCCTTAGTTTAGTTTAGAAGAGAAGGTACCAGTAGCTTGAGTTGATTTTATACTGTAGATGTGTCCTGTTTAATCAAGATTAGGTTGCTAAGAGCCCTGTCCAACCTGACCTTGAGTGTTTCCAAGGATGGGGCATCTAGCACCTCTCTGGGCAACCTCTTCCAGTGTTTAACCACCCACGTTGTAAAAAATCTCTTCCTAATACCTAGTCTAAATCTACTGTCTTTCACTTTAAAACTATTAACCCTTGTCATATCACTGCAGGCCCTGATAAAATTTTGTACCTGTCTTTCTTATAGGTCCCCTCGTATGTGTATAGATATCCCCACCTGTGTTTGTGGATGCACTCAAGACTTGCACTGTCTATGAAACTTTTCCCTCTGTCTGAAGAGGCTGATGACCCTGGCTTAGTAAGTCATTTGCAGTCACAGGCACCTGAAATAGTTTTGGGAGTCCTTCATGGAAATGCACTGCTACAGATTGATCCCATCAAAATGTCTCACTGGCTCTAGGTACCTTTGCTGTTGCACTCAGTAATGGTAATAAATAGATCTGTACTTGTCAGGATTGGAGATACTGCAATGAAATGCCAGCAGGCGCATTTCAGTTGTGTGTTCTGATGGCCAAAGGCAGTTTTGTCTTGGTGGTCTCATAGGTGGCTGTCATGCAGCTTCCTAACCTGTTCTGACCCCAAGTAGAGACACCCATCAGCTGTGGATGTGAACACACCATGGCAAAGTTCTTGGGCTGAGTATGAAAGAGAGAGCCTGTTGTATACTGCATGTATGATGTGCAAGTAAGTCTCCTTCCTAGGAATAAGAAATTTTAGGATTAAAATGGTCTTGTAGTAGTGAATTGCTTGAGGTAATTTGTTAAAAGCCCTCTGAGGGACAGAGACAGGTAGGTTACTTAAAACCCTCATAGTACTTGTTTTCAAATTCTTGAACAAGTAATACCTGTCAGTTATTTCCAGTTGCATGAATTTCTGCCATGATAATCAGCAAAACAAGTCCATTGACCCAATTACACTTATAGGATTTTTTTGAGGGTGTTTGTTTTTAATTTGTTTCTTAAATAAGGTGTTTCTATTGACCTATCCAAATTCCATCTCAACACAGTTAAAATCAGACTGTCTAGTTCTTTTTTATTATACTTGCATGTGATTCCAGCTGGATACATTAAACCAGGAGTTATAGTCCTTACTATTATTTTCTATGCCTAAGCAAACCTCTCTTCTGTACAGCACAATGGCAGTAAAATGGGATTACACTATTAATATTTTATTTAGAATTGTTCTGTGACAGCAGATAAGAGACTAACTAAATGTATGTGTTACATACGCTTTCCCATTTGTCCTCCTGTGCTCTTGTTAAGCTTTGGCTCCTTGAGATTTGACAGGGTACTGTGTAGCACAGGGGACTGTTTTAAGCAGGTCCTCACAGCCACAGAAATTGGCATCCACTGGGGATCCACTGGCTACTTTGTTTTGTGCTCTGGTGACTTGTTAGCAGTGAGGTATTTAAATTGTGTTACAAAGCAAGCCTAGCAATGTTGACGTTCCTGCCAGCAGTCTTTGGAACATAACAGGAAACTTTAGTAAGCAGCAGCTTTAGGGTGATCTGTGAGGACAGAATAGATGAGAATAGTTGAATATGTACATAGTTGGATGGCTTTTGTTAAGATTGCCCTAAATGCAGATTGTTTTTACAGGGAACGTGTTCTGACAGTCTCCTCCTGTCTTTGCAGGAGGAGACTGAACTATTTGGAATGACTGCATTGTACTTAGATTAATAAAGTGGATTAGAGAGGTACCACAGTATTGTTTCCTGGTCTTTTGAAGCCTGTGTGTACATGCTTAATATTCCAGAAGAATAACAAGTCATTGCTGGTAATCTTGTGTTTTATTAACATTTTGGGATAATACCTAGCTAGCTTTTCTTCTTGAAGAGCAAAGTGAAGGAAAGTATGGATTTTACACATATGGTGGAAAAGAAGGTTCATAGATACATATTCCTGCCTTATACTTCCATTACCTTATATTCCTAAATTTTATTTTCCAGTGGTTTCTGAGGAGTCAGGGAAGAGAGGAAGTTTGTGAAAAGATGGCAACTTCAAGAAGCCCTTTCCTGTCTGGAAAGTACTGTCAAGAAAGAAGTCTTGCATACAGTGAAGAGACTGGAAAGCAACTTGGAACAACCTTTCCAAGGTATAGTCCAATGTAAGAATGGCATATCTTGCAGGAGGTACACATGGTAGGAATTTGTACTTTACATGAGAAGGCTGTAAAGGAATATCCTCAGTACCCTTTAGTAATTAATGCAAAAGTAAAAGTGCTGCATAAGATTACTTTAGATAGCTGAAGAAGCTCATTTTTTCAGTGAGTACTCTTCTCTCATCAGTTCCAACTCCAGCCCATTTTCCAGCCAAGGCTTGTTATGCAGGTAGGTAGCAGAGCACTTCCTCACAGAAGAATAAAAAGAGTTGTAATCTAGGGATCCTAGATAGCATCACTCTTTCTCCTCCCCACCTTAGTGGGATACATAAAAGTGGGATGTTGTTACCACAACTATTAGTGCTTCAGAATTTTTAGTTCCTGCTTTTTTAATCTGTAGGAGTAACAACACCACTGACAAATGCAGGACTTCTTTTTGCATTAACTGCCTGTTGTACATGCATGGCATAAAAGGCACAGGATGTTACTCTGGATTTGGTTCTACAAGAATTTAGGCTTGTCTCAGTCAGTATCATCCAGCAATCTCATTCCCTTGACACTTGAGATTTGAGGCCTTAGCTAAACAGTTCTACAGACAAAACTGCCACAAACTGGTGTGCCAGGTAAAAAGCCTTCAGTTTAGTACCCTGAAACAGCTCATGAGAAGGGCAGAGGAAAGTAACTGTGTCAAAATGAAGAATGGGGAAGGAACATGCAATTAGGATTGTGACCCAGGGATGCCATCTTTAAATTGGTTCAAGTGTTATGTTAGGAATAACGTTGCTCCTTCCATAGTAAGGAGCTGGCAAGTAATGTGGCTGTAGTACAGTCTGGTGTGTGTCCATCACTTTTTCTGGATTGCCTACTCTGCTAAAGCAGCACTTTAATGGCAGCTTTTACTGTAAGTTATCGTTAAGCTGCTGTATCCTCTGCTCTTGCTCCCATTTGGGAAACCTGTAGAAGTAAGGTCAAATCATGTCAGTTTTATAAGTTTGCATCAATTATGATAATTGAGCAACATGAAAATGTGTTACTTAGCTTCTGCTGATTTCAATGGCAGTCAGACACCTGAGGATCACACCAACCTACTATTTAAAATATGTATTAAAAAAACCCACAACAATTTATTGTTAAAACATCATGAAACCTGTAAAAAACCTAGAAGACACTGCTTTTATCGAATGAGGGCTCTTGAAGAATAGCTACTCTTGAAGAATAGTCCTCTGGGAAAGAAAAGACACTAATTAGGTTTTGATGCACACCATGGCAGTTCCAAGCAAAAAGCAAATTATTTGGCATGTTTAATGCAACTAGAAGTTACTTTAAAAAAAAAAAAAAAAAGTTCAGATGGTCCAAGCTTTTTTGTCAATTTAAAATTTCTTTCATTGAACTGGTTTAGACATGGATCCTTCCATCTCTTTCTCCAGTCACAGTAGCAAGCATTACAATACAAACTACTACAAATGTCTTACCTACTTAGATGTACTAGAACAGGACTTTAGTCTTGAATATACTCAATAAATAAGAGACTTTTATTTCCTTTTCTTATATAGCAGTAATTGAAGCAATTGAACTTGTAAGTGCCAACCATGAGAGCTACGGTAGTGACCATGAGTTCTAGAAACCAGTAATGAACCTTCCATTTCACTAGTCTTGCAGTGTAAGAAACAGCATCTAAAGACTGTAAAGGTTAAAGTAGCCAAAAAAATGTAATCAGGCAAATGCTTTTTAAGTTTTGTGCAAAATGCTTAAATCTGTTTCCATCACTTGCCAGTTACTGCAATTAGAAACCTCTGCTATGCAATTCCTACTCTTAACTGCAGATATGTGTTGTGCAATTAACTTGCAAGTGACAGAAAGAGGAAACCTTTTCAATGAGTAAATATATTCTAGTAACAACACTTTTGGGCTAATTTCTTCAGAGGGTGAAACAGCAGAATGTAAATCCATGTCTGAGTATTCTAGATAGGCATTCTGGATTAATAATTCTAGGTAGGTTTCTGGCTGCTCATCTGCTATTAGGGAAATGACTCTAATAACAACATTCTTTAATAAAATGCGATTTTAGCATCCATTTGTTTCTGTTTAGCTTGTTGGAAAGA